CGCGTCCTCCAAGCGATCACAAAGCTTCTCAAAGTTGGCCAGGGCTGCCGCGAAATCTTTGGAGCGCAACTGGCCTGGGGCTCTGCAAAGGTTTCGCATCCAATGGAGGGCAGTTAATGAAGCTGGTGATTCTCCAAGCGCGCCTCATCGAATGAGAAGACATGGATCACTAGGAGCCGGGCAGAGTGCCAAGTTGAACATACACTCACATTCAAAGCAGGAGAGGCCTCAGCTTCGTGCTGATCAAAACCACTGTGGAAAGTCGGAGTGCAAGAGTCGACTTCGGCGTTGCTCGAGCGGACGCCCCGGAGAGTATTCTCAAGATACTACTGTACGAGTTGGGATTTTACAGCTAAGTTCATGCCTATCTGTGCGTCCGACATTAGAAACAGAAAAGTATTTTGATATGTATACAAAACACACACGGCGCGGGAAAACAACTGGTGACTCCTCACCAGATCCGGATCGCATTTGAACAGCGGCGTTGTCTCAACCAATGATAGACCCAGCAGAGTAGATGTAATTGAAACCAGGTTGAGTACTGCTAGCTCAGGTCTAGAAAAGCCTCGAACCTGGAAGCTTGCGCTATCTGCTCAGCTCAACCGCTTCAGCTTTCTCCGAGCAAATAGGGGTTCATCCTCGTCCATGAATATGTCTGCGACCCCGAACGGCATTACCTCGCCCCACCCCCTAAACCCCCAAACGACAGAAACTTTCCCTAACTGATTTCAATGGCAAAACACAGGTCGAAAGCATTCATCACGACGATAAATCCTCGTGCCCCAGAACTGACAAATGCATATACTATACATGCGCGGGGCAGGCGCCGTCGAAGCAGTCGATATTCCAGTCGGGCCTTCGCTGGATGCTGTTTCTGGGCATGGCTCAGATGCCTGCCGTTCCCAAGTCGCCTCAAAAATGAGGTAGAACAAGAACCAGGCAGCGAACCAGGCGGAACCAGGTGGCATCAGTGATTGTCGGTGAATGGCATGCAAACAGAAATAGAGCTGTGAACAAACAAAGAGCAAGCTATGAACAAACTAGTAACATCCAGTGTGTTTCAATGCAATCATCAACGCGCCTCCGAAGCGAAATGCCTGGCCAAATCTAAGGCCGCCGTAAAGTCCTGTGGCCAACAGTTGTCAATAGGGTGCCATGGGCATCATCATGAAGCAAGACCTATTCAGCAAGCGACGATCTGTGTCCTGAACCGCGGTCGAATCTCCGAGGTAAAGCCTCAGCTGTGATGATTCGATCTCTCAGATGGTAGCATTTTTGGAGGATTACCCCTTTCACAGGCAAATTTAGAAGGCGTCCAAATTGGAAGTCACAAATCATTGGGGTTGGGAAAAGACGGATCAAACAACTGGAACTCAAACAGGTGTTTTTTTGCAGATAATGTTTGAGGGACACCAGCATGACATTCATGACTTTTGCAATGCTTCTACACGTTTCCGAGACATGCACGAGCAAGCTCCCCTGTAGACCATCAGTTCATGTGGAAGGAAAATGACCTTCGTGCGGCTGCATGGAATCTTCAACTGTCAACTACAAGGGCAGCAAACAAAACGGTAAATACATCCTGCTGCCCAAAACACCCAGTTGACGAGAGAATTCTCGAATGGAATTGACCTGTACTATTTTGGGATGGCTGTTGCAACCTGCATGTGCAGAATGTCCACAAGTTAGCCATGCTTTTTTTCAAAGCAAATCAAGGCTCCAAGGCATTTAGATATAAAGACTGCAAACTGTAGATGGAAGCAAGTCTAAGTATCGCAACCCGGACCTCTTTAGCAAACAACATGGAAGTGGAACCGCGGAAGAACATGGAAGTTTTCCTTCGTACATGTGACATGTTATAACCTCCCCTGCAAGAAATGTCAAATTCACAGGGCAAACTGAGATCTAGCACTGGCAGGCCATCAGAAGATGCCTCGGCGCGGTCTCAGCACAGTCCAGCTACAAGTGTAGTGACTTTTGCAAGAGGTTTGTTCTGGTCCAACCAGCCCAGAAGAAGTTGGCCCAGAAAACGCTTGCGATTGGCGATTGTGATACCAAAGCAAAGGTCCAAGGATGCTGAGGACCATGTCCCCTGAGTCATAGGGCGAGACCACCCCAGAATTCCCTTTGCTTCGCACACTCGGGTGCCCCCGAGTGCCCCTCTTGGGCCCTGGCGACGTTGCCAGACTGCAACATCATGCCCAGCCCTTGGAAAGGCTTTGCCCACTGGTGGACTTATATAGTGCCCAAAGGTTCTGTGATGCACGGTATAAATATATAAATATAGATATATATATATATGTATTATAGCAATTATTCTGGTGGAAGATTGAGACCTTGGCTAACATGTGCATGGCGCCAATTCTCCTTCAGCATGACTGAAAGGATGCCAACCTCGGCAACAGAGGAATAAACAAACACCCGTGAAGTCGATTAATATGTCTGGAGGGAAAAGCTTGGCTGGAACGCCTGTTGCTTCCAACCAGTCAAATCCATCGTTTCCCGACAAAAGTCCGATGGCTGGAAACAAAATTCTGAGCACTGTATCTTTTGGACTGAGGAGTGCACTCCATCTTTCGCTCGGACTGCAGAAGGCATCCCTGGACCTTCATGGCTTCCGTTTCGGTCTAACAAGAAGCCCCCCCCACTTCGCCTGACCCGTTACAGTAGCTGGATGGTAAGTCGGCCCGAAAAAAAATGTTTCAACCATCATTGAGACCCTTGCGTGCACGTACAGCCCTGCCAAGCTCCTGTTCTGCACCATTGAGATTTCCAACTTTGAGGTGTGCCAGTGCCTCACGGAGCGTCCCAAGTTATTTGAGAACGTGTTTCGCAAAGTCATGCAAATTCATAGAAGAAAGGGATGACGTTCCATATATGACCCTCAGCCACATGATCAAAACTGGGTCTCTGGCTCGCTTGAAGGCCAGCCTGTAGGTTAGGTGAGAAGTCGCTTGCGTCGGCAGAAAATGTCCGCACAAAGTCAATTGGATCTCAATAGTTTTGCTGGCAATCCGTTTGACCTTAGACATCGCCTGGCTGTCATTGGCTCTCGCAACTTGATGGCAGTCCCAAACGCATTGTGGGCCTCAAGATTGTTTGGACTGCTAAGTGCGCATGCATGATGGGTCTCTGCACATGCTGTATTTGATGTCAATGTGGTGACACAAAATCATTTTTGGCAAACCTCTAGCAGCTAAGGCAGCACCCTTTGCTACGAGGGGTAAAAGGTAAAAGGTTTAAGAACAAAAGCGTTTGGAACAAGCGTTCTTGCTAGCAGTACTGAGGAGTAGTTAAGACCGTTCTTAAGGATGAGATCCACTGTTGAGCACAGCCTCTGGCTGTGCTGTGGTCACATGCTGGCCATTGCTGGAAACATGTGGCAAGTCTTGGAGCAAAGAACGCCTGTTGTAAAAAAAAAAAAGGAAAGGTTTTACAGTAGCAGCAGTAGCAGTAGCAAAGGGGTAAGGCATTCCGGGCCTGCCTCCGAAAGGCGACCGTACTGAAAGCAGAGATCCCCGTAAACCTCAAGGCTCTGGGAGGGAGCTCGGGGCAGCAGGACCAACATATAACATGAAGAACACAAAATTGAAGAATATTATACAGTATACATGACTTCTCTCTCAAGAACTAACTCTTGGAGAAGTTGTAGACAATACAATTTAAGATGGAGTCAAACAAAAGCACGCGCGCACACGCGCACACGCACACACACACGAGTCACAAGCAACCAGCCTCATGGATGTCAGCCCGGTCTGGCGCCAGAATGAGAGCTGCAGCCACATCCTGTGTAGTTCTGGTTGTTGGATATGTTCCATATTCTTCCGCGTTGCTATGATCGCTTTCATGTTCTCTGCATGTCTTTAGCAATGCGTATCAAAGGTTTCACCGCTCAGGCACGGGTGCTAAAAGCTTCCTTTCTTTTCTGGGGGTCGAAGCTTGATCGTATAAAGCCCCGCTTGAGCATGCTTGAAATGTGACAAGCAATGGTTGGACTGGTTGGACCGGACCCCTATCCTTTTGCCCACTTGCCTCAAAAGCGGCTTCAACCTCGCCAATCTCTGAGAGGCACCATGCCCGCATGACTCGAGCATCAGCATGACCCCTGTGGAGTGGATGCTCCAGAGGCTTTTTGCCGAATCTTTCTTCGACAAACCCTGCACTGACAAACAGACAGACAGACAGACAGACAAATAGATACAATGGAACTAGAGCAACTAGAGTTGATACGGAGCAATCACTCACAGGTAATCACATCTGAGGACGACAACCCATTGGAGAAGTTCCCTTCTAGAAAGGCATTCACGACAGTTTTGTCATGACGACGAACAGCTAAACATCCAGCCTGTTGTTCAGCGCCAGGACTGCAGAGCATGCCTCCAGCGACCCGGCTCACAGGAACTCTCACGGACTTGCCCGAACACTTGCAGGTGTTCCATATGAATGCGTCCTTGGAAGATTAGATGTGTTTATGTATACATATATATATATGTATACATATGCAGATACCACTGAGGTTAGGGAGTTAGGTTCTGACTCCAAAGGCCTCGATGGCTTCTGAATGCCGCTCCAGGAGCACCAGAACTTCAGCCTGCATCATTACATTCGCGGACCAATGCGACAAATTCATGTTTGAATGGAATCGTCTCCACATGATCCCCTTCTACCACCTCTGGGTAACAAAGGGCATCGCTACTAGGAGCAAGGACTCTACTAGTAGCTCCTGGCCTTACTACTAGGAACAAAAAGCTACTAGTTTCTTTTTTCTTTTTCCGCTGCTTCCTATCTGCCGCAATGCCCAAAGGGTATCGCTACGTACAACATCCACAGGCCTACAGATACCCGGGACACTGCGAGCCTCTAAGGACCGCTGGCGGGGTGCGGAGAGGTCATAGCCTGGGTGGCTCGCTCCACAAAGAACTGCGCCATCTCTACGCGATGATCGCAGCACGAAGCCCGGAAGAACTCAGGCCACAAAAAATGTGTGTATATGACATATACTATATATATTGTATGTTATAATACACATGCACGTAACGTACAGCAATACACCTAAGAGTCAGCGAAAACTCAGAGAAGTCAACAAGGTCCAGACCTTCCACGTTGGAGCGACGGCCAGAGCAGCGCCTGCCACTCTCACAGAGCGCCTGACGGCAAGAGCATTCGCCGTGGTGGCATCAAGGCCACGGCATGTGGCAAATATATAGATTTAGTTATATATCGTCTAAGTCTATACACGATATACGATATATAAATACATTTTAAAAATATATGTGTATATATTATATACGTAGTTACGTGGTCTTCAAAGTACGTCAATCAGAAAAGCCTATGTGCCTTGACTTGTGCAGATCTCTCGTGGGGGGGGGACGTGGATGCTCAGACTTGTCTTGACATGGCCTCCCAGGCGTCATCTGGCCGGCCCAGGCTGCAAAGACAGGCTGCCCTCAAGTGTGCGGCCCCCAATGGGGCTGAGAGGCCGGCAATCATCGCCTGCAAACGAAAGTGCGCTTGTTACAGTGCACTTGCCAGGTCGATGTTCTGTTCCAATGTCGTTTACCTTCCTATTTGATTTGGTTATAATGTGCATCCAGCTTGATGATGCAATTTCAACGATCTAAGTTATCATAGTTGTGATAGTTGGATCTAATTAGGAAAGTTGGTAGCTTATTGCAGAGGCCAAAGAAACAAACGAGCTTCAACAGGACTTCTAACGAATAGGGTTTGGGGCTGGGCATTTATTGAATTCTTGAGGAAAAAACAACAAAAAGAACGTTCTGTTGCTTGGGGATGGTCGCACTGGCACAGCAGACAGGTCCATGCCTGTTGGTCCACTGCCTCCAGATCTTGTACTGCATCTGTAAGCAGTTGAACCACTCGCGCATTCTCTGGCGCCGCACCCTCAACGTGGAAGGCAAGGCAGTCATTTAACACCCGATGGAAGGCGGCTTGGATGGGAGAAAGTTTAGTAGCTTCTTGTTTCTAGTAGTAAGGCCAGGAGCTACTAGTAGCGTCCTTACTCCTAGTAGCGATGCCCTTTGTTACTAGTATATAGCTTCTTGTTACTAGTAGCGATGCCAGGAGCCCCTAGTAGCGTCCTTGCTCCTAGTAGGGGCTAGGCCAGGAGCCCCTAGTAGCGTCTTGTGGTTCTGCATCTTCTTCAAGAAACTATGTATACATACCGAACAACCTCCCAAATGTTGCATTCCAGAGCCTGCTTCCACAGACTAAGTAACAACAATCTCATGCCACGTCAAGTGCGTCCGCTCCCATGTCTTTGAACTTGAAGCATCCTGAATCCAATATCCAAAATAGGACAGAAAGACCCTCATCCATGTCCACAGCTGCTCACGCCTCCTTCCCACGATCCCAGGCTGCACAGGCCAATGCAATGGCTCGGTGCAAGCGCGTCTGAGGGACCGTTGGACCAGTGGACTTCGTTGGATGCACAAAATGGCCGGTTTTTAGGGTCAGGGATGGGACCAGAGTTGGTGTCTCTGACTTGACTGAAATTACCTGAAAGCAAAGCAACTGGCTTGGCAGGAATTGAATATTCTTAGTTTGGTGTCCTTTCAAGTCTTAAGTCCTAGGATGTATGATGATATAAGCACTGTATGTGTGTGTATATATATATACATACGTATATGTGTACAATCACAAATGCGCACATCCAAACCAAGAAGAGCAGCGAGTCAACCAGTGCCTGCACATTCACCGGCTGCAGCCGCAGGGCTTTGGTGAAGCAGCCGATGGCTGCCTTGCAAGTCAAACGTGGAGTCAGGACGCTCAGCCGCCTCTTCCAGAGGCGAAGGCCGCCCGAAGGCCAGTGGATGGACAACGCGATGTCCTCGCGCGTTGTTTTGCGCCTCGAACTTCAACTCTTGGAACTTCAAGATTCCAGCAGAGACCTCAAAAGAAGCTTGCAAAGCAAATAGACAGCAAGAGACAAAAGGATGTGAAGGCGTGCTGGATGGCTCTGTATCTGAGCTCAGCGTTCTAGTATGAGTCGAGCCATCCTTCTAAAACTTAAAACGTGGAGGGTCAGTGTAACAGTCCGTGCTTACAACATGTTGCGAGAGCGGCACCTTCAAACACATTATGAAATCCTTTGGTTGCAGAGTGGAAAACCCAAAGTGTAAAACTTGAGGCCGAAGGGGGGGCGTCGGCCCCATGCCAGCGGAAATACACACATCCCAGAGACGTCCCAGGGAAGAGTTGAACCCGCGGGGGGGCCCCCTACATATGCAGTTTTCACGCGATGCGGCGCTCTCGAGGGTTCCAGCCCCTCACTTGCTAAAGCAAGAACAACTCCAGCTGGTGCTAGCTTTCGTGACCTGCCCAATTGCCCCGCCAAGCCACATGCATGGTGAATTGGATGGCTTCGTCACCAGGATCCTTAGGGGTCAATGGGTTGATGGCCCGCACCTAAAAGAGGTCCTATATCCCACGGCCAAAAAAAAACATCCAAACCGCTAAGCACTTGGCAACCAATAAAGCTTGCCGACAATCTGCAACAGCCTCATGAAAAATGCCATAAGGGGCTGGCTTCAGAAGCCAAACATCTACCTACCTCATATAATTCCAACACCAAGAGAAACTGCGCATCTGCTTCCTTCAAAGGATGCAACGTCTTCCCACCGGCAAAGGTCACACAACGCCGTCACCCGCAGTTGGAAGAGCAGGGAAGGTACCTGAAACTCAGCAGCCCCACAAAAACATATCGCAAGTGTTCGGCATTCGAATCATGTGAATTGTGAAGTGATTTCTCATGTTTTTTTGGGGGGGGCGTAGGCTTCTAGGAGGTAGGTAGCTAGGTAGCTAGTACCTACAAGTAAGCTACTAGTTACTAGTATGGACGCAGCATAACTCACGCTTCTTCAAGGAAGTGCTCGCACTATTCATGTGGTTCCTAGTCTTGTAGGGAAACTTGCAGTAAATTCAAAGCCCCCGCAACAGGCAGGCATTGCAAGAGAATTCAACTCCAACAAACTATCAACATGTTGGCTCAAAACCACTACTCACTACTCTCGCACCGGAGCAGCTCTTTGCTGCGGCTCCCTGGCAACCAGTTGCAAGTAGGTGCCTCAGGCATAAGCAACAAACCAGCAGGATGTTGTGCCCTAACTGCGCTTAACACCATCTCAACACCGTCTTTTTTTGTGCAAATTGGTGACCATAAGTAGTCAAGGTTACCTTCGGGCTACCTCCAGGCATGCTGAACTTGGCTGAGACAATCACGGCATTCCAGCGCTTGCTGAAGGTCGTCCCCTTTGGCTAAGTCCTGCTGGTTCCTTGTGCCAGCTTGCTGTGTTCATGGGAATGAGCAAAACGCCTTTTCCGTTTCATTGACCAAACGAAAGAGACAACCCATGCTTCACCAGAGGCAAGCGCTTCACCAGAGTCCGTGCAGCCAGCCACCGGGCCTGCCCAAGCACCACTCATCCACCAAATAAATAGCCAAGTGCATCAAGAAGATCAAATATTTTGCCAAGCGGCTACAGCTACGAAGCCACATAAATGACGAGCCCAACTCTCACCACCAATCGAAACTCGTGTGCCAAGTGTTGAGGTGAGATGTCCCAAAAAGTTCTCTGGGCCTCCTCAGCACTGCGGCTGCGAGCAGACAATGCAGCTGCAGCGGCGCCTCCACTTCCAGCCTTTCCACTTCCAGATTCAATGGCACTGGCACACGCCTACATCTTGCTTTGAGAGAAAGCCATTGTACTATTTTACACTGTTACATGTTACATATCTGAAATGCATACGTGAGCTCGCTGCTACGTGACCACATGATGCTCGAGCCGTGCGAGAACCTGGACAACATGAGAAGCAGCAAATGACCAGAAACGGCGGTAAACAAACATTCTATGTGTTGTCCTATCTTGCACCATCACATCAATTCAACACACAGGTACTACGCAAGAATGCCACTTAGACAATGCCGCCGCTCCCTATCCTAGCGTCCACCTGAAGCTCCACCGACTGATTCCTTGGGCTCTGCCTGATCACGTCCACATTCGGATCGTTTCATTTGGGAAAGCTCAACGCAAAATAACCTTTGGCCACAGGGAATAACCTAATGCCTAATGCCATTGGATGGAGCAATCTTTGCTTCCGCACCTCTAGACAGGCAAGGGTGCGATCGAGCAGACCTCCGGAACAGACCGCTGCAGGTTCGATCCGCACAAGTTACAAAATACCGCAGGCCTATGCGTAACGTTTGCTTACTTTTGATCGGCTTGGTCAATGGCTCAGGGCTTTCTTTGGATCGCGTGCTTTGCCACTCAAAGCCACTGCAGCCGAACATATCCACCTCGAAACAGCACAGATTCACTTGAAGCCCTCTTATTTTCAGTCAAGGTGAGTCGCACTCAGTAGTTGGAAAAAGTAGGTCAGCTTATCGACACTGTTGTGGGGTCGCCAAGTGGCAAGGTTAGTCGAACGGACTGAGATGAGGGAGCCAACCTCGCAGCCTGAGATGCTTGTTGAGGGTACAACAAATTGTATATGCTGGTGCAACTATGTAACAGTATTGGAATTAGTTTGAAGAACAAGGTGTTGCAAATGAAGATCAAAAAAACATTGGTGCGGTGAGGTGCCTCGTTCAAGTGGCGTAGTGCAAGTGGGAAGTTTGGGTCCGACCGCATCATCATCAAAGCCTCGGAGGTTACAAAGGATGCATCATCAACGCCTCCAAGTTTGGCTTCTTTGAATTCAAGTCGTTTGCCTGTTCTTCAATGGCAACATGTCGAAGCATTGTGCGATCATGATCATCTTGGTATGTTGTATGCACCCTCGATGAGGGCTGAGTCTGTGGCACCCAAAATAGCATGCGCAGCCACTCGGGTCTTCTCATGGTGCTCAATGGAAGCGTGAAGATAAGATGCAGCCTGTCGCCAGCAGCGTGCCCACTGAAGGAAGAACAAATGCAAAGCTCTTTGAGCTGAAGGAGTTGAAGAATATTTGCCGTACTGCCATGGCCCATAGCAACTCCGGTCCTCTTGGTGTCTCTGCTGCTCAATCAGGATCTTACCATACCAGAAGAGCGCAAAGCCCTCCTGAAGGTGAAGCAGAAACGAACGCACGCAGCGGAGAGGAATGAAAAAGAGCACATGACTCAGAAAAATGGCTGCAAATGGTAGTTGTGGATGTTTTTGGGTTTTGCTACATTGCTCCTTATGAGGTTTTAGGAAGGTTCCTAGTGTAGTCCCCTGGTGCCTCTGAGGAGGGTGTAGCTTTTCAGTGTTGGCGAGGGGTCATGCCAAGAAAGCTTGAGCCACACTCATCGTGGAAAGCGTCCACAGATTCGGCTTCCTCTCCAAGCACCCAGGCAACAGGACATCTGCTCATCTCTCCCGACCTGCCTCAGGCTCAAGCTCTAAGACGTCCAAGAAGTCGCTGCCTGGCTTCAGGGCGTCGAACATTGGGTTGCTAGGCTTCAAAGAAACATACTGAAAGGATGTTGCAACTACGACAATATCAGCCAAGCTGAAAATGACAAATATTGCAAAAAGTCTGTGATTGCAATTGTATGTGTATATATATATATAGGTATACATATGCATATATAACCAACAAATGAGTCAATGAATCTGAATTTGCTTCTTGTCCCTCTGGGCCCCAGGCCGGCCGCTTCCAGATTCCCCATCAGGCGCAGCACCAAGGCACGACGCATCAAAAGCTCAACCAGAAAAGCCCTGGCCATGAATGAGACGTTATGTGGAGAGAACAGGCATAAAAGGCATCTCTGTCGCTCGGGGATGCAAATATGATTCAATTATGCTGTTACAAGGTACTTCACAAAAAGCTCGTGAAGACACACCCCAAACAGCCACATCTTTCAATGACAGCGCTGTCAACCCTTGAGATGACATCGTTCACTGCAACTCTTCAGCCTTGCATTCCTCAGCCCAGCCTGAGCTGTTGGGGCTCAGCCATGAGCTGCTCTTCTTCCCTCAAACGAGCAGAGTTTGGCTTCACTCTCCCAAAAGCTTGGGGGAATCTCTGGGATCGGCTTGATGTTTCTCCAAGACCGTCATTCAAGGGTTCTTTTAGGATCTGAGACATGCTCCTGCGTCCAGGAGTTTCCTCGTTGAAGGAGTGCTTTGAAGGACTGTCCCTGAGCGACAAGGGATTGGCACAAGACTGTGGGAACGAAGCTAGTGACTAGTGCAAAAAATCATTGGACGATGGCAAGGATCCCTGTAATCACTCGAACTCAACTGTACACAACAAGATTCAACAAAATAAGTTCTTCCGAGTTGTGATGGTCGCTATGATCGCTGCATCTCCGACTCGTGCAGAGCAGGCGGAGGCTCACCTGAAGGCACAGAAATCCCTCAACAAAAATGCCCCTTGCCGTGTAATTTGCACTATCTATATATATATAGTATAGTTAGTTAGTTACTCTTGACCTAGTGATGGGTTGCAGCAGCAACATGGTTGCATGCCGGGCGCGGTGTATACGAATCTGCTCTCTTTCTCTTGCAGCGTTTCCTTGTTGAACACGCGATGATTTCTTTGGTGGTGGAAATGCTGTGTGACTGTGTAATCTCAGAATCCCATCAGGTGAAGTTGTCTTATGCAGTCTTACACAAGGCATCCTTGGTCAGCATCCTAGGCAGGCCTACTGCCAGTACAACACCTTCCACGGATGGGTTGTCCAAAAGCATCCAAGCCTCTAGTCTCCTCAGTCCCCTCAGTCTCCTCAACACTCCTCTCCGGTGACTTCTCCTTGAACAAGGACTGTGACTCTTGTGACTCTTGTGACTCTTGTGACCCCGACGTGCCACACAGCTGCAATACGTGTGACTTGAAGGTGCAAAAATACGAACACACGCCTGAGGTCCCTCGAAGAGCTGTTCTTGGAGCTCTGCATCCTGTTCTTCCTCTGGTTCTTCCTGCGCTTCTTCTCCTGCCCTTTTCGTTTGTTCCATCTGGTGCTCTATTGCCTGCAGCAGTCTGACTCATGCTTGTGAACCACTGAAGTCAAGCTCCTCAATCTATATAGTCTGTTTGCTTTAGGAAACGTCAGATCAAGTGCTTTCCGCTTGATATGGCATTGTGTGTGTACATGTATGTGTGCCTGCGAAGTGTCGCTGATGGCACGGCTGTATTGGCGAAGGGCCTCAACCAGAACAAATTCACTGCAAAAAAATGCTTCTGGGTAACCGGCTCTAACCTCAGGCCTCTAAGAAGTTTCCCAGGCCACGCAACCTGAATGTCGGCTAAACAAAAGCCGTTCACCAAAAAGCTCAGAGATCGTCCAAGGAACGCATCTGCCAAGCCACGGCGAGCTACCAAGTGCACCGGCCTTGGTCGAATTTTCCAAAGAAAGAAAGGTGGTGTAAGGGACCCAACCACTCACAAACACCTGCTTTTTGCTGCTACCCATATTGTTCGATATTTTGATATCTTGATTTCCCCCTTCCAGGCCAAAACAGCTCTAGCCAAGGGCCTCGCTCTTCCGTGAGGACTTGTCGGAAGTCAGCCCTCGCTCGCTCAAAGTCTTGGACCTGCACGACCCAACACAAGCCGAAACTAAAAAGAAAATGAAACCTTCGATCTGTCCTTTTCTTCTGTTGTTTATCACCATATCTGGATTCTGCTTTGCACTATTAAATATATAGACCTTTTTGTTCCTCCCTTTCTTTCTTGGTCCGGCCTTTAGGCAGAGCTCTCCGCGCGCGAGCAAAGCTGGCTTGAAGCCAGGGAAGATGCCTAAGTCGTTTCCAATAAAATGATAGGAAGATTCGGAAAATTTAAGGACAAGGAGATGAAGCGCAAGTACATGTGCAGCTTCAAACCTTTCACACTGGAAACCTCTAAGAAGCGTACTGAGACAGCGATTCAAGTAGCGAATGGCGCCAGTCAAATCACCAGAGCGCTTTAAAGACAAAGACATCAGAACCTCAGCTCAACATCTTCAGGTGTGTTGCTGGAGAGGCCTTTTAGTCTGATACTGTCTGCGGCAACACTCAGCTTCAGGTGATCGGTGTATCATGAATACCTCCCATGATTTCAACATCTCTTTGTGCAGCTCAGCCAGCATAGATGTTGCGGTTGAACGAAGCATCCTTGCAATGTGCATCGTGACGACAACTCGGAAAGCGAAACTTGTACAAAGCAGAGCTCAAAGCGAAGCTGTCAAAGCTTCCAGCTCCTTATGGACCACCTCCGCAAAGTCTTTTTGAGCCCGGTCCTGACTAATGGTTGTGCTCCTATGTCCAATGTCCCAGAGAAGTTGCTCGCTGCTCATATCACATCATCTCTGAAACTTGCAGAAGAGCCGCACCTCCTCCCCCATGGCGAGGTAACAAAAGCCTCTGGAGACAAGAGCCTGCCATTGTTGACACATCTCGGCACAAGCGATATCGGAAAGCCAACCCTGATCCTGATGGACCACCGAGATAGAACTTGAGATAGAACTGTGCTTTTGAAAAGCGAACACTGGCTGTATGGTCCTCCGAACAGCGAACTGTCGGCAATCTTGCCGGCAAGTCTTGCAAGAACCCAGGTCTCAAGTCCAAGGCCATGCAAAAGTGCTGAGCAGCTTTCTCGTAGTCTCCCTCCTGTAAAGCATAAAGCATAGACATCTTCACATATGAATTCTTTGGGGTTACTAGTAGGTTGGAGGCCATCGCTGTTAGGTTGGAGACCATTACTACTAGTAACAAGAAGTTACTATATAGAAAGTTTCCCTGTAAAGAAGTCAAAGGACATGCCCAGTGGAATTCCAGCCCTGGGGGCCCACCACAGCTTGCCTGTCCCACCAAGTCTCCTGCATCTTCTGCCTGCCCCATTCTACCTGGTGTGAAGCGACCAGAATCACTCGAAAGGCACAGAATCCGTGGTGCGGCTGTGGCATGTTTAAACCCCATCTTGAACAGTGACACATCATGATATATACTCATCATACAAGTAGCGAATGTAGAACGGATGCTGTTTAAACATGCCACCAAGGCCACTTTCATCTTCAGCCACCCTTCCTTTGCTCAGCAGTTTCAAGCCAGCCCCTCCCCAGAAAGGAAGGCAACTGTCTATGAAGCAAATCACGCTGCCAATCTTGAAAAGCCTAGAACAGCACCACCCTCCCTCTTTTCCCAGCTTTGCTTCTTGCAGGAGTCTGAACTGAGGAAGTACTTACTGTCGGCATGCCTATGAAATAGGCCAACCACCCTTGAAGCAACTAGAACAATGCTAAACATGATCGACACTTTGGGACCTGTTCGGGACCCCACGTCCCCACCAAAGTCAGGTCGTTCAGGGCCAAGCTGCAACTGAGGTAAGGTCTCTCTTCACGCCGTCAACAATGAGAGGCATCCTCCAGTGCTTTTCACCGGAGCTGGTCGTTGACGATCATGGCTGCCAGTGGACCAGCTATTCGGTACACGGCAGCCAAAACTATAAAGGCCATGTCTAGTTGGCACCTGTTCAGCCAACAACGTTTTGCTCTGCTGTTCCAACTGTTCTGCAACGAAATCCAAACAGCTACTGACTCGCAGATGGCCTCGCTCTACTTTTGGCTACAGTAAAATGTTCTCTTGCAGCCATGAGGGTGATACTTGAGCCACCAGCAAAATCCAGTCAATAACGTAACGACGATCCTTATCGGTGCCCCATGCCTCCAGGATCCACCAAGCCCGCAAACCCCACAGCGACAGTTGTCACAGCTGCTATCCCCTTTCGTCCCTTTCGTCTGGCAAACTCTTTTGCTGGACAGCACTAAGTCCAACAAGCGCGTTCGTGGGCGACGAGACACATTCTCCCAATGCATCTATACTTTGGCATACTCTGGCCTCCGTCTCTCCATGTTTAACTCCCATGTCTTTGGGCGAGGATCTTCATTTGTAAGAAAAATTAGAGGTTCCACAAGCAAAACACAAGCAAACTTTGCAAAACACTGCACGGCGTGTTGTTGAGATATAAAAACAATATCTGAAATGTCAAAGATTTGCCTTCGCTTTGTGGAAGTGAAACAGCTCAGTTCGACTAAGCATCATCATCGTCACCTTCAGGTTTTCCGCCTTTCACCAGCTGGTCGAACCTAGGCAAACTGGACATGAGCAGTTGTAACAGTAGCATGAATATAATATTGAATTTAAACGATCCTATGAAAGTTGTACCCTAAGCAGTTTTTGGGTTCAAACATTCTGCAACCACCACGTGTGTGCAAAACAAGCTGGTGGCATGCACATGATGATTTCATTTCATTCTTCATATGATTGCCGGTCGTTGCAGATGATCTCCTTATGTAAAGGGCTTGCTCTCTTCCTCTGGTCATGTTGGATCGTTCAGCCGCTCGTGGTTTTCCGAGCGGCATATCGTTCTTCCACTTGCCACCAGGAGAGCTGCCTCGCCTTGCAAGGACAATGAGGCCACAAGTCTCTCTATCTACTCTTCCTTTAAGAAAGTTCTCCTTGCAGGTTTGAGTTGGAGAAAGATTGGTGAGGCAAAAAATGGCCTCATCATATCTCATGAAATCTCACCATAGGATATCATGATCTTTCATGTCTTCCACTTGAGTTATCACAAACCTTCCAACTGCCTCATTGCAGGTGCAGCCTCGCCACGCCTCCGATGCACACCGAGTGACCGACCAATCTTGTGTCAGAAACGCACACAAAGGGCAGGCTTCAGAAACCGTCAGAAATTCAAAGAAAGAAGAAAAGAACGAATGGTCGAAATTGTGAAAGGGTCTATATAAAAGAGAAAGAAAAACGCTCTATAGTTTCAGATTTATGAAATCTGAAAACTGAGACCTGTGGAGCCTTTCAACACAAAGGATCAGAGGCCTTCAACACCTTTGCGTCCTCTCCCCACTGCAATCCCTTCCAGAAACACTTCTCCCTCAAACCTTCCTCAAAACTCTCCTAAAGAACTGGACGCGCAACATTCTGCGGAAGCAAGACTTGGCAATTGGCAAGTCTCAGTGTTTCCATGCTCCTTGCATCAAGTCTTGTCACCTTACTATTCTATTCTACATTCAGACAAAAACAAAGTGAACCACTTCCGTTTCCACATCTCTGACACTCACACAGAATACATGTGTAGTCCTCTACATGATGGAACCAACTCGTCAAATCCTTCTACCTTGCCAGTGATATGCACCCCTATGACAGCCCATCATGCAGCCTGTCATCGTGCTCGCTGTAGTTTCTGGCCAGCGGGACGCCCGTCAATTTTTCAGCCTGGCGGGGCAGAACAAGACCATGCCTGGGATCATACATCCGGGATGACCAATGTTTGCAAGTGTAGAGGTGTTACTTGCAACAGAACCCTCTGCCTTGATTTGATCGATGAAAGAGGTTTAAGCAACAAGCAATGTAGGTCCGTTCTGTCTTGCTGGAGCGCGACTTCTACTTTCTGCTGCTGGTTGGCACTTTTTCGTCTGACCAGCAAGCTCTTACTTTGTTCTCACAGAAGCTGAAGAGTCCTGAAATGCAATTGTGGCATATTGAGCAGCAGAAAATAAGAAACGATTCGAATGACGGGCTGATGCGTCAAGCTTAAAGTTTGTCCGAAACAATTCATCGATTGGATATCCTTTTGGTCAAGCTTGGAGAAAGAATGGTTAGTCAACCTCCCCGGGGCCAAAACAACTGGGCGTGGCAGGTGGAGATTCCCCTTGTGCTCCTGGACTCCAATGTGCAAGACCTGAAAGCAAATTGGTCATCTACATGAAATGCGGGCATGGGATGGAAAAAAGGACATTGGTAACCCTAACAGATTTGTCTAATCATGGCAAGCATGGTGCAAGTACACCTGGAGCCATGCAAGTCAGCTCTTTTCAAGCGGCAGTGTACTGGCTAAGGCAGCACAAAGGCAACCGCAAAGCATATGGTCTCTCTTGTCTTGTGTTATTGAGGTTTACGCATACGTAGCCGAAATATGGTGGCCATAGGCACAGCCTTTCCAACTACCTGTACGAAGCAAACCAGGAACTTCTCAAACGATGGCCATGCAATCACGGCCAAGGCCTATTATTGGTGTGAAACTCTGGACAGATTGAAGAAAAAACACGTCTTCTGAAGACGATCGTCACTAGGAGTCACTGAGGTCTCAAGACACCGCGGCGGTTTCGGGACACCTCAGGACCTCTGGCGCCTCCTTCTTTACTTTGGCCTTGGTCCGGCCATCACGCTCCAAACTTCCATCCTCCAGCTCAAAGGCGGGGGCGAAGCTACCGTCCGGCCTGCGAAGAGCTGGGTTTGGCAGGGTATCGCCCACACCACCCAAGGAGGTATAGCCTTGGTCATAGAGTTCGCAGTAGGGAAATCCAAACTGCCTCAGAAAGGCCCAGACGTGATGATAGGACCACTTCATGATGGGGTTTATCCGCATAAATGCTGGCCATCCATCTGTGGAGGGTGTGAATGCATCGACCCCAGCCATCCATGGATCGACGCTGCGTTGACCCATCACCACCGCCTTCACATTGTTTGCTACTAGGGATTCCATGCCCAAACGGAAGGACTGATGCTGCAAAGTGATCATTTCCAAGTCCAGGCTTCTCACAACCCATGTCACCTAAGCTCAAGGCGAAAGCGGGCAGGTCGCCACGTTGGGCACCTGTTGGCCTTTGTACTATATATACAGACATATTATATATTCTTCATATGCTGTATATTTTATATGCTCGGAATCAGACTCAGGCAGGACCATGAACACGTCAAATCTGCACAAGTCATTTCTGGTTTTCCCATTCATAGGGATTGAGCCAATCCAATCAGTTTAAAGCCCTCGACTACCGTTGGACTTCTTCCTAGCACTGATTCAGTGGCTTCAGCATGTCCCTAAATTGACAAGTCACAAATCTCTTCACTTTGCTAAACTCATCGCCAGAGTCAAAAAAGATCACTTGCGGTGTTTCTGGCAGCTCTTCATCCATGGCCAGCAGCACTGCAAGCCAGAGATACAGCACCTCCAATGATGATTCCAGCTAAGCTAGTCTGCCACTATGCACGGGATATCCTGTAGTTATACTTATATAGTGAGAGGATGCTGATCGAAAACCAGAAACGCCGAAACAGGAATCCCTTTGCCATGCCATGGATATATCATGGATGAGTTTAGCAGTGTGGACAATGATCAGGTACTAATCCTAAAACGTCGGATCCTCTGCTGGATCCGTTGCATGAATGTCTTCGCTCCAGCAACTAAGTCTCCAGCGACACACGCATCCTTGCCGCCATTGAAGGACACCGTCAACTCCCCAACATGAGGATACAGCATCGCTCCACGTCGGCAAATGCTGGAGGACTCGAAAAGCACAGCTGCAAAACTTTCATCCTTGGCTCGGTCCGTCGTCCTCCAACTATGTTTGCTGTCTAACAGCTGAGAGCTGTTGTACCAAGTGTGTTGAATTATACTTCAAAAAAGCAAAAGAGTCTGTTGATGGACGCAAAAGAAAATTAACAATCATAAACACACTGTACTGTCAGACTCGTGCTGACTGAGGCCGAGATTCTTCTATTCCAAATTCTTTGTGCAGGCGTTGCCTTAAAGCAGCCTCATCCTTTTCTCGCAGCACGTCAGCTAGACGCTGAATTGGGCGACTACCAAAATGTCCAACCGCAAAACTCTGTCCGTCGACTGCATCATCTTCGAGAACAGCCCCCATAGGCCCTTGTCATGGAGCCGCACAAGAGTTCAGCACTTCGAGCCAAAAAGAACAAGAGTTTGTCTTTGAGAAATTGTCCCAAATGACAAAGACAAGAAGCACAAAATTTGCGGCTGCTAAACTGCTCAGGTTAGGACTAATCGAAGTCTGCGAGCTGCACACAATGGCCTTGCATCACCACCGGGTCAAATAGAACATCGAATATCATTGGTACAATGCAGATTGGCCTGGTCAATAGCAACAGGACAAAGGAAATGGGAGCTTGGCTGGAGCTTGCATGCTAAAGCCAACAGCTGCGGCTTGTAAGGATGAAAAGCCGACAGGCCTACAATATGCATGACAGTAGCGAATGTTAAGAAACTCAGGTCAGGTGTACCTCAAGGTCAGGATTTCTGCCATGTCCAGGCGCCTAAGCACACAGAGTCATCACTGTGGAGCCTGCCAGAGTCACTGTGGGTGCAAGGCCCATTTGGGTCGTTCGGCATCGCGACCATTGAAAGCTCCAAAGTCCATACCTCTTCGCCGCTCCATGTTGTGTTTTCTGTAAAGTGTTGGGTGTAACGCCTCCATTTCGTCCTTTAGGTGATTACGCTTGACAGTTCGTGCTCTGAACAAAACCAATACAGAGTTCAACAATTGGAAGACTTCGCACCTCGCCAATCTCGTCCTCCTCCTCTGCGCGTGTCCCGTCGATCGCCCCGATCATTGTTCATGGCACGACTAGTTTGGCCTGCAGCATGGAATCGGATGATGCACTTTGTTGACCACAATCGACCACAGCGGGTCACATTGATTCCATAAAACCTTGGAGCCCTGCTGTAGTCACCAGGAGGGCCACGGGCAAGTTGATAGGGCCTCAAACCCAATGACTCCCTGTTGATCGTGATGCACCTCTAAGGTCGTTTGGATCCAAAAGGACAACCTCAGCTCCATGCGATGGATATGGACCCCAGGGGCCCGCTCCATAAGCGACCTTAGCACAAAGAAAGCCGCTTTCTGGAAGCAAAACCCTGCTCAGGTAATCCACTTCTGGTGGCTAAATTGGTCATTGAGACAGCTGCTGGATATCCGGGCATACCATATGGCATTCCAGGAAAGGAACCTTCAAAAGCAAGCCTAGATTGGCCTAGATGAGACACTGCACTTTATCATTTCTTCCAGTTGTCAGTTGTCAAGAGTTTTCTTCACAGCCTGGCATCGGAGGCCCGTCACCTCGACGCCGTCGAGATCTACCTTGGCAGGAGTGGTTTGTGTCACCTTGTCTGCACAAAACGCCGCAGTTTGACGGGTATGCAGCTATCCCTTGTTGAAGCATGCTTTGTCATCGGTTTCTTTGTTCTCTTGCTTCCAGGATCCTGAGCTTGTTTCAGATTGTTTCAGCATTTTTCCGAAAGGACAGGTGGCCATTTCCCTCCACAGCAACCAAAAAAGATCAACAAAGGCACTCAGAGCCCTACTTCGACTTCTCTCACGTCGCTTCCGATCTCGGCCTGGGCTTCAGCAGTGTGGCTAACACTCTGACAGGAATGACATACAGGGCCGATACTCTTGCCCCGTTCCTTGTTCTTTTTGCCTTTTGTCCTCAGATCCCGTATCGACAATAACTAGCTGACTTGTGTAGGAGATTCTGTGGCACCGACCGCTCTTCCTCCTGTTCCAGCGGAAAAAAGAGTTGACGTCCAAACGACAACCAAACAGATTATGAAAGATTCGCCACAAGAACAACGTCAGCCTCTCCCTACCAAAACGGAAATGCAAGTTGAAATCGTCCTCTTCCTCATCATCCTCTTCTTCGTCCTCCTCTTCATCATCGTCGTCATCACTACTTGATTCTTTAGCCTTGGAATTCAAATCTTCATAAAAGGCAAACAAGCACTACTACCGTTGGAGCATTATTCCGGCCTTTCAATGTCAAGCCAACCTCAGCACGAGACCTTTTTTCTCTTTGCTTTACTGTTCTTTTTTTTGGCCTCAATTGTGGTACATGATGCAACTAGCTTGCTGGTCATCTCGCAAGCTTTGAATCATACAATACTATGATGAGTGGGATGTCGACAAATGTCAGACTCGGTTTTACTCCGCTTGAACTGTCATGTCACGCACAATAGCAAACTTTCCATGCTCCACCTTCTGTCTATCTCTCTCTCTCTCTATCTCTCTGAAGCTTCTCACACGCCATGCTTCTATTATACTTTGGTTTGTTCGCATGTCACCCATGGTCCAAACTTGTACTTACGCATTCTTGGAAATCATGCAAAAGCTCAACAGCCTTTTGCATGCTTCACGGAAAGCCTCGACGGCCTTTTTGCCCTTCTTCTTGTCTTTGGCAGTCGCCTCTACGTCAAGGGACAAAGCGGGGAGAGTCAGGGCAGAAATACCGACTTCCCAGCCTTGGTGACCTTCTTGGTCCCCGACTTCCTTACGTTCAGATGCACCAAACTACTGACGGTGTCAACACAAAACGACTCCTTCCCACCTTCGACTTTTGCTGGAGGAAGAAGACTCTTCGTCACCTGACACAGGCTCACTCCATTGGCCAGGCAAGTGCTGCAGGTAGAAAAGAAACTTCAGATTTAAATCACAGAATCACAGAAAGGGTGAAAGAGTAAACCTGAGAGCAAATCCAACTTCAAGTAGACAAGTCCAGTTCATCTTGGGGGTTCTTGGCAAGTTTCTCTTGCTGGTGGCTTTAATGTTTTCTGAGCATAGCACTATCAGAGTCGCTCTCTGACTCGCTCGAAGACCTCAGGTGCGAAGGATGCTCTTTGTGGGGAAAGTTTGCAGCGACAGCTCGCCTCAAAAAGAGCAGGTGCCGCTCAACAGATGTTGAAAACAATATCTTTGTTGAATGGGGAACAAACACCTCCTTCCAGGATTGCTTGATTTAACGAATTTACCATGGTATATCGATCTGCATAAGTCGACACGAGACCGGTTGAAAGAGATCATCTGTTCTGCGAATATGGTGAATCATCTTAACCTAATTATATATGGTTGTATACTAATGTCCAACAGTGTGGATCACTGTGGTAGATCAAAAATCCATTTTGCCTGCAATTGGAAATGCCTCTGGCTCGGTCATGCTCAGTTCATGCATGATGCAGCACCAAACCCAGGAGCCCCAGCGACCGCTTCCTGCCACGAGGTTGAGCTGAGAAGTCGTTCATCCGCAGTGACAAGCCCCTTCTTTGCTCTAGTTTCACGTGTACATTAACTCGACAAAAAAGAATGGGTTCAGTTGCATAACATGTATTTCACACACAAATTCTTGCCTACCTCTCCTCAAATGAATGCAAATCGGTTCATTTGCATCAAATGTGCCCCAGGATGCCCCGGGGAGCAAAGGAAAAAATCACATGTGTCGATTAGCAGACCAGCCTTCCCATGTGTCTGGCTCCCCTGACTACCGATCTGAGCCAAGGGTTTCTGCTAAGCACGGGACTATTGTATCCATTAAGACTATCCCTTGTGGGAAGGCCACTAACATGCCACACAGCAATGCAAAGGCTTCGGCCAAAACTATGCTTGAAATCAAACCAGTAAACCAGTGATCTTGTACAAACTCTGTGTTTGGCAGTTGCTCGTCACACATGATGATGGCCAGCACTGCATTTTAAAGCCACCACGTCTTGATAGGCAGCACACGAATCTAACTCCAACCAATTGTCCTGGTGTGATTTAAATCATTTAAGTGCTAACCAGCAAGATTTAAGCGGTCAACATACAACCAGGAGGGCAGAGTTGCAAGCAACCTGATCCAGTTTAGCACATTGTGAAAGTTCTATCTGGGCGCACTAATTGCTCTTCCCAGCTTGGCTGGGGCGGCAAAGAATCATCTGAAGTCATTCCTGCGTTTCAATTGATGAATCTCTCCTAGAGGCTATATAACTATATACTCCAAATAGATCCCTCCCTAATCCGTGCAGCTATTCCATCACTTCTTTCAGGGCAACGCCAACAACCAGCAAAACAAAAATCACTCCAAAGGCAACAGCCACTTTGCCACCGATGTCACCCATCGGCATGAAATACCTTTCGGCGAAACAAGGCTGCCACTGAGGATTCTCTGGATTCCGGCATCAAGGGTTGAGGTCACTGTTCATCTACCGAGCCCAATTGAGACAAGGAATCCATCAGGAGTTTTGCACATGTCTCTCATGCAAGTCCAGTACGGCCCCCAGCCCGAGACACTCTGTGGAGTAGATCGTGCCGAAGCCCAAGTAGAGGAAGACCACCACACCAGGCACAAAAAAGGCGTATGGGTCGCCTCAACCAGCCAGTACTACCGCAAGCGTGGGCCCAAACTAGTAGCCAACCCCATATGGCCCATAAGGCCTGGCTTTATACTGTATGGCCATTGTCCAGAAAAGTCACTTTCCTGGCCCTTGCCTTCTGCATCCTTTTCAACCTTTTCAGCTTCTCGCCTCAACTCCTGCAAAAACTTGTCAGGAACGAGTCAACCGGGTTGTTGTGGCAGCACTAGTGCAGAATTGTTTATGGTGCATAGCAGTAAGGGGAGATTATCTTTCTGTCTTTCCTGCCTAGGCACCAGGACCATAAAGAGAGCGAGCGGGCGAGGGAGGGAGTGAGTCAGTGAGGGTGAGAGGGAGTGAGGGAGTGAGGGAGAATAAAATTGGCACGGTCTCGCATATATTACTGGGAAATAGACCCAAGTCCCTGTCCTTCTTCTTCAGATCTTGTGATGTCTCTTCAGGAACAGCAGGTAGTCGAGTGAGGAGAGATCTCCCTTGCGCCTGGTGGTGTCAGCCGCCAAGTTTGGAAAATGGGTTTGGCAATTGAGGACAATGAGCTTTTGCAGTCCTCAGTGGTCACTGAAACAAAGGCAGTTCCCAGAAGAGCACCCAAAAAGGTGATAGCCAGAGCAAACGTCGTGCAGGAGGTAGCTCTTCCTCAGTGAGTCAGAACTTTCGTTTGCGTGTGTGTGTGTGTGTGCACGCGCTCTCCCTACCTTCAGTAACAAGGTCCATGGTTATCTTCGGATTGCGCACGTTCAGAATGTCTTTGCAGTTCAAAAGCAATGGATGAGTCGGGGAAGGAGTGGAAAAGGATATGTTGACCTCCGAGCTATCTGCAGAAGTAATATTATGTGACATTGTGTTTTATTCCCGAAAGTTGCATGCCACTCATAGTCAGAAAGTATCTTGTGCATCTGTTGTGAAAAGGTTGCACCTAATTGGTAAGCAATGAAAGGGATTTAGGCACTAGAGTTTTCTTCGACACCAAGTCTATAACGTCTGAAAAAGAACAGTGAAAGGGGATCCTGAAAACTCAAGCTCTGTAACTGAAGACATGAAATGGCCGAGAACGCAAGAAGGAGAAGGAACAACACAGGAGAACGGCACGGCTATTACCCGTGTTGTTTTGTGGGTAGTTCACAGACAAAGTCTTGCAAAGCCGAGCATCTGCACTTTCTGTTGGGCTTCATGAGCACTCTAAAGAGCTTAGTTTACAATGCAAAATCGGTTGTGTCGGTTTATTTGTGCCGTGAGGCTTTCTACCATGGTCAGAACTGCTGGAATCTGGACTTTTCTCATCAATGGCAGTTGGACAAGCGAAAACCTGTAAGAGCGTTGGGAGAACACAGCTATGCTTGATGCAAAGCTTCATTAGGAAAATCTGATCAACCTTCAGCTTGAAAAATACAGTAGTCAGCACATCTTTGCATGACGGGCTTTACATGTGTCCTTGAAGTTCACAAAAATGTATCCTGTCAACTGTTTCACTGTTGAATTATTTGATCTTTGTTGAACGTTTTGGTTTGCTGAATCCAAAATGCACAATTAGCGCGCCGCCATTCTTTTCTGCGCTAGGACACCATGCAAAGAGCAGCAACAATCACACACCTCACTTGCACACCGCGTCAACTCTGGCATCAAGCTGTTGATCGAATCGGCATCCAGAAAAGGATGCTTGTGTCACTAAAGGGATAGGGATAAGTTCGAGACCTTAAGCCTCTTAAGTGTTCATTCCAATTGCCTTTGCTGAAGCTGAAGTAGCTTTGCAAAGCTAAAGCTCCACAGGGTCAGGAAAGCCAAAAAGGCCTGTACTTCCTTAAAATGCTACTCAGCTTTCAGGTCGCTTCCTCTGATCATTACTCGCACATTTACAAGGATTGCGGCTTGCTTTCCCCTGCTACGGATGTGTTCAACCCGTGCTTTGAGCTGTCGGTCTTCCAGTAGCGTGTGGGTCACGACGCATTGTGAGGTATGGCATGTGGATACTGCACTTCAATTTGGGGTTCTGACCTGGCCCATGCGGGTCTACGGCACTTGCAATTTTTGAGGCCGTTTGGCAAAATGCAAACGTCTCCTAATATTTCTATTGCCTGATTTTTGGACGGGCATTCACCCCGTTCCTCGCCATCTGGCAAGGGGGTTCTTGCACATTTTAGCCTCAAAACGGCGAAGCCTCTCTTGTTAGTCACGGGCAGTCCAGCTAAGATCCGAAACCCGTTATAGTCCAAAGTTAAGAAGTACGTTCAGGCCGGTGTCTGAAATTATGTTGAAATCTGTAAAAAGTGAAAAAATGGTAGAAATTGCCATTTTCTTCACTTTGAGAAATTGCAAAAAACGGTCGAATCACAAAAAAATATTGTTTTTATTCACTTTTTGACAGTTTTGAGAAAAGTGTGTTTTTCATAGTTTTTACATATTTTCCCGTTGGTGGAAAATGCAAAAAACTGGTTTAAAACTAGTTTTTTTGTTTTTTTGACCTGTTTGTAAGTCTTCAAAAAAGGACAACCAGCCACATGCTCTCGCCTGGGCATACATGCGGACACTGGTGGAGAAGTCTTCAACACCCTACCCTACGTCCTGGGCAACGTCCCTCGAATGGTCATCTCGCCCCACGTGATTTGACTGTCCATCCCGAAAACAAAACACAAAATCCACCCAGAAACCGGAAAGGAACACTTTTCGCGCGGTTTGGAGCTTGTCACTGCTTTGCAGCGCTGACGTATTTGTCCAATTTCTGCTGCACTGGTTTCGCTTTCTTAGAAGCACCCCGAGCATCTTTTGCAGATCCGCTACGTTTTCGGGTCTGTGGGGCCACTGTGTCCCACGAAGAACCATGCTTGGAAACTCTCTGGTCTCCAATCCACTGAGGGGGAGGCAAGTCAGTCAATTGTTTCATTGACTTTGGCATAGGCAACACTTTGTGTTTTCGCCATCTGGTGCTTGCCAACATCACACTGCCGATAGCTCCAACAACCGGAACGCTGATCGTGTTGCCGGCCACGCGGTTGAGATCTATGTCCTGAGATTGCCACGCTGCAAAATCAAACGCGTAACGGACGCACCCCGCACCCCTCCCCACCTTTGATCGTTTGTTCACCAGATAGCGACAGCTAGTGGGTTTCTATTTCAAATTACACCACCGTAGACCCCAAACAGTTTGTGTTTTTCAAAATCGAAACTAGAGCTTGCGACGTCCAGAGCTGGGAGATAAATGTAAAGGATTGCAAGGCAGAGACGGACACAGCAGTACAGAGCGGGGGGACACATCTTAAGAAAGAAGTGACAAGCCCTAACAGTAAACCTTTTGGGGAATTATTCTTCAAGCGCGAACATGATGCTGGTCATGCTGCTCAGTCAGCGGGGAGCTGACCACGTGAGGACAAGAAACAAAAGCATGAGGAGCGAAGGATGTGACATGAAATTGATTTTTGGCGCCTGACATATGCCCTCCGCCCCAACTGAATAGAGAGATCGCTGCCACGCCGCCGAAATCCAATCCGGTCATTCATCCAACGGTTGCCCGAGAAGGAAAACAAAGCTGAGAGAGTTACACAGTGTGGCAGGAATGCAATCCCGGAGACAGTCACGCACCCCTTGCAAAGGAGCAAGAACCTTTCACAGGCGAACCTGTTCCAGCGGACAGGGCAGAAAACAGCAGTGCAGGCACCAAACCTGAAAGACAAAAAGAAAGAAGTCACATGGGAGACAAATGAATAGAAATGCTACATGGCCAGCGGAAAAGGGCGGCAGCGCCAGTGACAGACCCGGAAAACAAATTAATAGAAATGCTGCATGCCCAGCGGAAAAGGGCGGATACCAACAGTGACAGACCTGGGAGACTAATGAATAGAAATGCTGCATGGCCGACGAAAAGGGCGGACACCAGCAGTGACAGACCTGGGAGACAAAACACTGGCAGTGACAGACCTGGGAGACAAATGAATAGAAATGCTACATGGCCAACGGAAAAGGGCGGACACCTACAGTGACAGACCTGGGAGACAAATGAATAGAAACAGCGGAAAAGGGCGGACACCACCAGTGACAAGCCTGGGGGACAAATGAATAGAAATGCTGCATGGCCAGCGGAAAAGGGCGGAAATTAGCAGTGACAAAGACAAATGAATAGAAATGCTACATGGCATGACGGACCTGGGAGACAAATGAAGCATTCTGGGAGATAAATGAAAAGAACCGGGAGACAAATGAAAGCAAGTGGGAGACAAGCGGGCCGGGAACCCGACCACAAGCACCCAGCCTGGGAGACAAATGAAAAGAAGTGGG